GACAAAACTCTATCTTGCCAATTACGTTGCACCTGAGGCTATTGCATCAGGGCCTGAACAAGTATAAGAAGAAGTAGCGTACTGTTTGAGTATATTCAGCAAACCACCGACGAACGAGTAGACGAAGTGAATGAAGCGTAGTTGAGCAGTAGCACCCTTGTTGATGATTCCAATGCAAAACTTCGATGATATGGATTACTGATTAGAACAGGAGATCCCTGAATCTTATACCAGCGTGGGTACGTTCCAGTTGGTTGAGTTCGTCCTGACGCGGCCTCCTAGGAAGGGTTTCTAGAAAGTTCGACCACTGAGTTGACAAACTACATAGTTCAGCTGGAAATCCCTAAAACTCAGGATTTTTGGTATCTCCGTATTCTATGAGAAGTTGAAACTTTTGACTATTCAGTAAAATTTCCTGGTATTCTGAATACCCGTTAAAAAGGACACAGTAATTCAACCAGTACATATGTGTACCCGACCGGAAAGCCTACTTCATGGATCCATAATCTAGACGGTAGGATTGTCATCGTTATATGCATTAATTCCTGTGTAAGTATTAAGTGAACCAAGTCAAACTATGAATAGGGGGAGCATCAGACTTTCTGGGTGGCAAACACGAACATGAATGCCTCCCTAGTCGAATGCGAAGTTTTTGAAAGCTTCAATCAGGTGTAGGAAAGACGATGCGACGGTCAAATATGCTGAAGAAGAAGAAGACGCTGTAAGAGACTAATCAGAGCTGATTATTTAGTGTTTTCATGTTGTGGTTGTTTTTGATTTGTTGATCAATCGTATAAATAATCCCTCCTCCACCGTGCTCTCTGCTCCTTTGAAGTCCGAATGCTTTGCATCAAGGGGGAGCTATGCGCTGAATACCAGGATAATTATGCAACAAACCGCTATAGTGGGGTATCACTCGATATCACTGGATATCATTGCAGCAGAAACTGATCATACTCCCTGCATTCCTCGAAAATTTACCGCTCCGACTTTGATAGAAGGGTAAATAGCTTACGAGATAAACAGAAGTATGCACAGGTGGACATCCTTAGTCAATGTTATAGAAAAGAAACTATTTTCTCTTCAGATGCGATACCTCCGTCCGATTGTTCTTGAGCGTTGTCCCCATATGTAAGCTGATTGTGAGGAGCGAACTCAACCGATCAAGTGGACCCACATGGTAATGAGATGCTATCGNTCATTGCAGCAGAAACTGATCATACTCCCTGCATTCCTCGAAAATTTACAGCTCCGACTTTGATAGAAGGGTAAATAGCTTACGAGATAAACAGAAGTATGCACAGGTGGACATCCTTAGTCAATGTTATAGAAAAGTAACTATTTTCTCTTTAGAGGCGATACCTCCGTCCAATTGTTTTTGAAGGTTGTCCTCATATGTCAGCTGATTGTGAGGAGCGAACTCAACCGATCAAGTGGACCCACATGGTAATGAGATGCTATCGAAGCACGAGACTTCGCCATTCTCAGCCTGCCAGCACGTGCCTCAGCTCCAGTACTAATGCCTGTCCATAGCCTTAAGAACTCACCCACCAACTGGTGCTCATGCCCCATAACCTAACCCATACACCAAGGAAAGTACCGTAATCGTTTCATCACTGAGGAAACAAGCTTCGAGCGTTCATAACTTTTGGAAGTTCATCTTGCATTTGTAGCTTCCATATTGGTTAAAAACACTACAAATCCTATCGATAAAAAAGCTGGAGCTCAATACAGGATGCTAAAGGAAACTTTCCGTTCGCAGTGGATGCTTCCAACGATGGTGTGGGTACGCCGCAAGTATGGGAGTTGGACTTGTTCTCGTTGGGGAGAAGAAGCGCTACTGCTACTTTTTGTAGACGGACCCATTGAATCAGATCTGAACTTAGGAGCGCTCTCCAGCTGTGAATGCTCGTCGTATTCCCGGAAAGGGTAACAACTGTTCTCTAGCGTGGGAATGAGCTTGTTTATAAGAAATATTCATATGCAGCTCACTGATGTCTGCCCAAAAAACATAAAGAATTTGTAAAACTACATCAGAATTCGCTTCTCGAGGTCCATTGGTAGGTTTATTCGACTATTAAGCCACACCTCCTATCCTCGACCTCAAAACATAAAGCTCCCATGCGCCTGGACGTCTAAATGTCTAGGCCGATGAAGAATTGCCGTTCAAATTCAAATTTGTTTCTGAAATTACCCTCGTTGCCCTAACCACCTCATTCACCTCGCAAAATTGGAAAATTGAAATGTGAACTATTCGAAAACGAACACTACAACGAACATAAATACAAGGTCGATCTGGGTCGGTCGCAAACAACGGGGTGTAGGTAACCCCCGCCCGTGCGATGGTATGGGTGTTGTCGAGACAGGAAAGGACATTTCGTAACCACCCGACGGGGTTCGAATTCAAACGCGCTGGACGGGGGTCAGCTGAGCGCGAAGAAATTGCGTCTGATCAATGGGTGGCTGAGTCATCGTCTACGCCACGAGTCATACCGCCCGCCCATACCGCATTCACTATTTCAAAGCAATCACCTCCCAAGAGGTTGTGGGTTGATTTTCTCAATGGCTGGATCTCCCTCTGACTCTTCCCTTTCTCATAATTCTTCATTATATTTCTCTTTCCTTTTTTGCTCTTGTTCTAGGTAAGGCTGGGCGGTCGGTATTAAAGTTCTGTTGTACCTGTGTGCCTCTACAGAAGCTAAGGAGTATGTTCTTGCAAAAAATCTTCTTGGCTGGGGACTGCAGAAAGATTTTCAAAAGGCCTATTCCGCCTCTTCTAAGTTCAGACAGCCCACAATGAAAAGAAGACAACCTTGGAGGGGTTTCTCACGAGACCACCCGTGGCGCCGCAGGCTTTCTATTAGGAGAGAGTTAACGTTTTTCTACAGAAAGAGGATCAGAATCACATTCAAAACCTAGAGCTCACTGAACAAATTCCACGCCGAGTCAGAGTAATGCCAAGCGGCTGCTTTTCACATTTACTGTCCGGGGATCAAACCTCGGACTGATACTGGGATAGGCCAACCAAGCCGTACATTCATTCCAGCGGGCACAATCCAGAACAGAAATGTTCAGCTCCAGAGGGCTTACTCATTTTACACTGTATGGAAAAATGAACTCCTAATTTGATTCTGCATCGATTAGACTCTTTGGAAATACTCCGTGTCCCAGGCTCCCATTGGATTTGCAAAGGTATTTGGATGAACTGTTTACCTACTTCAACGGTGATTTCGGTGGAAATAATTTAGAGACTTCTCCTTCAAAAATTCTTATTGCAATTCATATTTCCATTTGCCGGCGCTGAAGTAACCCCACTTAGAGTACTGTGGTTCGAATAGACATCAATTGGTAATTAAACAAATCTTACTCTTGAATTTTATCTTACTTGCCCATTCAACAGCCTTTTACTTCAGACCTCGAGGTATATCAAATGGTTATTCCTTATAAAATGTAGAATTCGAAATATGTCGAACCTTCCGCACCGACAAATCATGTACAAACTATGTGTGCAGTTCCCGACCGCTTAGTATCATCTTCTACACTGGAATGAAACCATAGAGACATGATGTTTACCGGAACACTTGGAGGAGGTGGTGGCTTTATTTATGGTCATCAAACAGTCGTGCGGTAGTCGACTACGAAGTACACGTGGCCACTGCTTTCGCCGTCGTTGCGATCGAGTTAAAGTATGGAATATTGTCTTCTTTCTGTGGAAATCTCTGAGAACAACGGATTTCGATTAATCCATGTTTAAGCAGACCTAAGAGAGAGGGGAGAAGATGCTTCAGCACATCAGTTGTTTGGTGTTTGGTAGGTCAGCAGATTCGTTAGATCTCGGGTGGCTCAATAATTTGCCCCAGTGCTGATTATCGACCACCCAAACACCCAGTTTATTGAACTCCCTCGATATCTTCATTTTTTTTTCATAAATTGCTCAAATTTCTCTGTGATATTCGTCCCTACATATTCCCGCGTTATTCTCCTTCACGAATTTAACCGCTGTACTCCTGATTGATGTCATTCATGTCATTTTTACTGCTTCCCTGACATTTTCGGATTGGCCTCAACGTTTCTACCTTTGGTTCTTTGCAAAACTCCCGTTCGAAATCTCCTTTAGACTTGTAAAGGTTGTTTCCACTCAAATATAAGGCCCGCTCTTCCTCTACCCCTCCGTCTTCTCGCCCACTAGTGACAGGTCTGTGGACGATGCAAAACGAACATTGTCCGTACGGCTCTTATCGCACTCGTAATCTCGTCGTCGCCTTCGGCTTTTCAGCCCACCCCCGACTCGACACTTTCAAAAATACCCGGGCTTTTACTTCAGTGCTTGTACTCTTGTTTGCCCTCCCAGTTTCGAATCAGATTCTTCCCACATTGTTCTATTTACACTTTTGCTCATCCTGGTCTGCTATTTTTTTATATCCTTCGAGGGGACAAAAACTCTTTAAAACCTCAAAATTAAGTGGTCAGTGAATGAGCAGTGAGCAAGTTAACATTGAAGTGAATAGAGCCAAGAAAGTCTCCAATGGAGCGTATTAGGGCTTAGGCGTGGTTGCTCGACATTAGCTCGTCTCTTGCATCGGATCTTCTTCGTAAGGTCTCTTTCTCATTCATGATCAATTCCGTCTTGAGATACGCCCGAACAAGGAACTCGCGTTCGAAATGGTATTAGCATCTGAATGCTCAGGTGATTCACAAAATGAATTGTGGGGCGCAGCAGACATACAAGTTAAGGTTTTGTCTTCCAAGGCGATCCTGTACCAGCTAAACAGTCTCTGCGGAGTCCCGGGCTCTATTATGGGATCGGTACCATCCCATGCATCCTGTGATACATAACTTCTTGACAGTTAAGCTCGTGTGTGTGGTAGTGCCCCACTTGGACAACTTCCCCCCCCCCCCCTCCAATTCCTACTGTTTTCCACTTCCTACTGTTTGATCACTGTTTTTATAAGGCGCTTGCGTTAAAAGCACATTCCGAAGTATTGCTTTATTAGATCAGAATGCCTCCATCCGCACTTGATGTGGAACGGACACCAGAACGGAATCGATGTTCTTCTCCAGAAGCTTCACAAGTGCATTCGGTAAGCATAAAAACCACTTGTGCTCACTAATGTTTTTAGAAGTGTAGATTCCACTCCTTGTTGTAAGTATTCCATGGTGTATAGATACCCCAGCACCTAATAGCTCTCGTTATGGTTTTGTGCCTGATTTCGCACTCGTTTGGCCCAACATCCAGCGGCTTACCCTCCCGTCTTTTCTATCTCATACGCTATGGGTATCCAGATAGACTAATATCATTCTGTTCAAGTGTAGGTGGGTGCTGTAAGAAAGATTTTGCGTATTGCCTTTTTGTTCCTGAAGTCCGTTCACGACCCTTTTTCTTAGGTTATTTTAAAAGTTGGCTTCGATCTTGACGGTTACTGAGCCGGCGATCTCTGAGATGCAGACTTGTTCTCGCCCTTCTACCATTTTTTACCTATCAGTCAAGGCACCACTGGGGTTTCCCAGGATTTTCATAATATGGCCCAAAAATAATAAACTAGTTTGAAGTTTCAATCTTTTTCTTTTGCAGCGATCATGGCATGCTCTTTTATCACAACCACGTTCACTGAAAGTATGTAAACCACACAGTTGGGTTTACCCTCGTGGATTCCCAATCCTCAGACCACGTCAAGTTTCCAGGAACGGTATTCCTGCAGAAAACAGTGAGTTTTTCCTTCCTCGCTTCCATGTTTACCTTTTTCACTGTAGGCCCTGCAGAAGGTGTACGAAAAACTCGATCTCATAGCCTATGCTAGACTGCGGTAGCACCGCCTACCACCTCTTAGCCATCCCTACAGCACATTCTCTTACGCATAACAGGGCTTTATTTCAGTCGAAAAAACGTCTTCCATTTACGTGTATGAGAAGGACAGAACCTATTTCGAACAGTGTTTCAAAGAGCTTCGAGTTCTTGGAAGAGGCTTGTTTGGAGAGGTAACTTGTCTGCTTGGTTTTGTTACTATTCAATATCACTATTTCACTATATACAGGTAGTGAATATATACTTACAACTAAGTACGAATTTTTTTGGCATAATTAACTCCTATTTTTGGCATAATTAACTCCTATTTTTCCGCAATACTTGATATCCATTATATCCGTGGCTGTAGTAGGCTGGGAGATTCAGCTTCTTCTTCCAGGCCCTGGAGGTTGAATGCCGAGAGACAGGGAAACGCTACGCTGTTAAGCGAGCTCTACACACATTCGAGTCAGCCGGAAATCGTCAGTTGAAATTACGTGAAGCCACGAATCATGAGGCAATACCTCCCCACAAGAATATCGTCAGATTTGAAAAAGCCTGGGAGGAAAGGTTTGTTCTCAATACAATTTTTTCCTGAACAAACTAATGGGCATTCGTAATGACAAATCGCCATCACCATCTGGAATCACCCTGACTGTTAGGAGATGGAATCTCTTCAGATCCAAATTTCGGTTCTTGACTACCCCTTCAGAAAGGATGCAGCGGGCATCAGAATTATTACTTGCGCTAAGCAAACGAGAGCGAAAAAAGACAAGCAATTGAACGTTGGTAAATCAACGCTCGTTGTCAGAAGTATGCAGAATGTGAATGAATACCTGACAAATGGTGCCGTAACACTCTGAAGTATAGCATGTAAGCAAGTAAAATATAATAGATAGTAAATAGCACGGAGCAATCGGCAGTGCTTCAGCAATGTATATTGAATGTGGTATTTACAACACGGAGTTCTTGTAAATACCGCATTCAATATACATTATCGATGCATAACTTAGGCCGGTCGATCGCGAGCAGTCTAGGAGTAGTCGGTCGATAATTGAAGGCTTTATTAAATGAGATAGAAAGGGAAGAGGGAAAGCTGCCACTCGGCAAAGTGACAAAACTGGAATGAATCGAGTAAGGTGGATTGGCCGCCTTTCATAGTGGCAGTACGGTAAAATACACTAGCATTTCGTAACAGATATCTTAGTACAGCCATAACAAGTGATTACGAAATTGATCGATCGAAAAATAAGGAAACAAGTAAGTTTTTATGGAGTAAGTCCGTAACAAATACAATGAAGTACGGCAACGGTAATTAAACGATGTAAATACAAAAAAGCACAATTAGATGCCCTGTAACTACTTGCTCTCACAGAGATAAGTGACATCCCGACTCTTACTACTTCCAACGCAGATCGTAGCGATGCGGTGGGCATTCCCAACGGAAACGAGCAGGCTTGTGCGACAGAATTCCTCGGCGCTGGTTCCTTCCCACTGGTTCCTTTAGGGCCTGTGTCCTCGACGGCTCATTGCAATCGGTCCTGAGCGGTGAGCACTTTGCGAACAACCTGCATCTCTATCGCACGGCCTGCGGAAAGAGATCGTTCTCTGGTGCCGTGCATGCTCGGGGTCTTCAATCATAAAAAAAGTTCGGCATTAGCTTTTCACGGCGGCGGCGATGCTTAGTCGTCTGCTCCCGACGCCTCCGGTCTCTTTATTCCGGAGATGCCATTTCAAATTCATCGACATCATTGAGATCGTTGACTATCAGATGCATCTTGTGCAGAACGAGGCTGATCTATAAGCCACCGACACAACTCTGACCCCGCCGCGGGTGCGTACCTAAACATCATGCGGGGGTGTGTGTATGTGCTCCCTCTAACACATCACTGTTGTGGTCTTACGATGGCTTCAAACGCCCGCTGTGGATCCGTCACGTAACGGACATACTCTGCGCAGATCCTTCCCAAGTTCGTCTATTCAGCCTCTCTTGTCTTCGTAGGGGCCTGAGAATAACGCGGGCGACCCGCTTGACTGCAGCTGGCGCTCCAGCGCAACGAGTATTTGCCGCATTTCCCGACTCTCCGGTGTAGTGTCCGGCCAAACGATTATTATGGACAAAACAATCGGCATCGAGATTTTCTATGCCGGTGTATTTAGTTGCATATAGGCATTCGTATGGGGGACCCGTTCTCTTGTAAGCTATCTCGCAGTACCTCAACTGTGATTTGAAAGCCAGCTTGTTTAACTGACCTAGGCGATGCCTCTGCCACGGACCGAGAAAAACCATCTAGTTTCAAAAACAACAAATGTGCAAGCACGTCATTTTTAGGTGAGTCCCTGGTACTTCGATTGCACTTAGTAAGAAATTTGTCAAAGCCTTCCCACTTTGGATCATTGCATACATTTACATCGGGTATGATCAGCGCAGCGAACATTCGAGCCATTTCAACCCATCGCATCGAGCTCAACGGAAGCTTTTTGCACTCACCTTGGTGCTTGGATGGTGTTGTCCTCTCTGTCCGAGCTGATTCTTTCCCTTGCGGCGGTTACTCGCTCCTATTTGTGGGCTGAAATTCATCAATTATGTCGACTGCCGATGACCTGTATTTTGCCAGGCCTCGATATGGATCTGTTGGATTGCGCTGATCACCGCTGCAGCGACCTGTCCAAAAGTCGCGTGATACTCGAGGTTGCTGAAAGCTGCCTGGCTGAGTTGCCCAATTGTAGCGGGATTCGATATCGCGCTTGTCTATGGCTGCTTTCATAGTCCGCCGGCCGGCCGGCCGGCGTGCCGGCGGAGGCAGTGCTAGAGGGGAGGAGGGAGGCAGACAGTGTAAGGCAAACAGTCCACGCCCCTTCGAAGGTTGTTTTCAACCCCTCGAAGGGGCGTGGACTGTGCCTATCTGTCTGCCTCCCTCCTCCCCGCTAGCACTGCCTCCACGCCGGCGGACTATGAAAGCAGCCTATGCCGCACCGCACAAGGCCGCGAATACCTAGAGAAATTCCTTTTGAGCTTGTTGTGACGTTGTTTCAATAGGTGCTTTTTCCCTGAGACTGCTTTGAGTATCGCTGCTAATTTGCCAACTACTTGCGCACTGTCCAATCAAGCAGGCGCGCTCATTTCAGCATGCAGTAATCGTCGTGCTCCGCTTATGCTGAAGAATATGTTACTGAAGTTGCGACCGTTTGGTCCTTAAGGAATTGAATGAGCTCGTGAACAAATTGTAATTCCCTAATACCTCCTTCGACTGTTTTAGCATGTTCGAAAGGTGTTCCGAGTTCGTGTACCTGTTCCTTCTTTTCCTCTTGTAAGGGCTCATGTAAGCGATCTATCGTAGTTTCGGCAAGGTTCCAGAAGGCCTCTAGTTTATTTGACAGATTAACGTAGGATACCCTTACCTGTATGTACTTTCTTTCACCGTTGCGACATGTGTGTCTATCGACGCCTTCAACAAAGCAGTTGCATCAGGCGTGATCAGGTCGTCCAGGAGCAGCCGCTCCAAGTCATTTACTTGTGAGGTATCCATACCATCCGAAACTTCAGGGAATCTCACTTCGAATCTAAAAGTAATTATTTTGTTTTCGAATCTAGAAGTAATTATTTTATTTTGTTGCTTACGTTTTATTGTTTGCCGACGAACTAGGCGAACACTAGAATTTTCAATTTTTTTCAGCGGGAAGCCACAGTCAACTAGTGACATTAGGAGTACTTCAAACAAGGCTATGAGCTATAGCCAGGCGATAACGTTACATGATTTTGGCAAGAGGGGTGATGGCTACGGGCGCGTGATGTTTTCGAAGTTTCTAGTCTGTTTTGATCACAGACGAGCGTTATGGAATACTTACACCCTACTCGGTGCCTGCGCAACTAACCGATAGGTCACAATCAATAGTGTCGGAGTTCCTCTCGAAACTATCTAACTACACTTAGGAGGAGGCTAAGATGTCTTTGTTGAACGGCATGCACCTCCTATCCCCACAGTGTAGCTCACTGCCTTACACAAGAGCAGGTTAACACCTTTCAGGCCTTCGACGGCTAACCAGTGCTTCCTTTAGTTCGGCCCCTGTGTCGCGTAAGTTGGGCCGGTCGATCGCAAGTAGTCTAGGAGTCGGTCGAGAATTGAAAGTTTTATTGACTCGGTAGAAAGAACAAAGAAGCTGCCTTTCGGTAAATAGACGAAGCTGGAATGAACTGGTCAAGGCGAAACAAGTGCCTTTTATGGTGGCGGTACGGTAACATACAGTAACATTTTGTGACAGATACATATCTTAGGACAGCCATTACAAGTGAATACGAAATTGATCCATCGAAAAGTAGGTAGACAAGTGAGCGTCTTGTGGAGTACCTCAGTTACAAATACAAAGGGATCAGTAATAAATACAATGAGATACGGCAACGGTAATTAATTGAGATAAATGCGAAAAAAGCACGATTGGATACCCTCTATCTACACCATGCCCTTTACAAAATTCACATACTAGCACATTCCAGCTATTTTTGAACACTGTTTTTTGCGTCCCGTCTCTTTCTGCATATCCAAAACTCGATGTGTCTTTTAGAGGCCGTCTGTATATCCAAACAGAGCTCTGCGGAGCCAATCTTGAAGAATATCGAGACGAATTTGGAATTCTACCAGAGAACGAGTTATGGAAAGTTCTCTACGATATGGTGCACGTGAGTGGTATATTCTCTCTTACCTTAGTATTCTTTACGGTCAGGCAAAACGGACATTTGTTCAGGCTTTACATCATTTGCACTCCACAGGAGTACTACATTTGGATGTAAAACCATCGAATATCTTCATTTCTGACGACTCCACCTGTAAATTGGGTGATTTTGGACTAGCATTTGACATGAATAAGGTATTTCTCAGTAAAATGCTTTCCACGAAATCCATGTCATCTTGACTCCTTCAGATCCCCCGCGATTCGGCTGAAGAAGGTGACAAGTATTACATGGCCCCAGAGATCCTCAACGACTATCCAACTACTGCAGCGGACGTCTACAGTTTAGGAGTGTCGATGTTAGAGGTGAGCCCATATTACAAGGCGTCTTTCAGAGGCTAATCTTCCCATAGGACTCCAGAACACTTAGATCTCCTCAAGTTTTAGCCAGTTGACCTTAAACTAGCATCAGGGTAAACATTTCACTCTTTACCGCCGCGAAGGATGTTAGGTAACAGAGCGTGAAGACAGCTCATGGGATCTATCAGCAGTTATCGATCATTTTCAAGTGACTGCGTTTAGTTATTTTCGGTTGAACAGAATCGAATTTTAGAGGCCATATGCGGAAGCGATAAAGGAGCTAAGCGTACCATCTCGAGATTGGGTATCGTGCACGACGGCCTCGGAAGATCCTAAGCGGCAGTCGTTACCGTAGTGCCGGCTTTAGCATTGTGTCAATAATCATTTGGACAGCATTCACTTTAGAAGAACGTAAATCGCTTTGGCTTGTTCTTCAGTCAACTGTCGGTAAAAACTTGCTGAATGCGATGCGAAGGTATCACGAAGGTGGCGAGTCATAAGCAAAATGCTCAGTCTTGGACGGTACGCCACTACTTACTTGCGGTTCCCTGGAATGAAAGACTGTGCGAAGGGCAACGGCTACTTCTAGTCTCGTCTTCGGCTGAACCCTCATAGAACAGCTAGGAACAGCAGATATGGCTGTTGTTAAGGAGTGAGGAGACCAGGCCTTTAAGTCAAGAATAGACGCATGGGCAAGGTTATTCCATATCAGACCCAAAATTGACTCGCAGTGGATATCGTCGCCTAACTCATCCAGTTTTGTAATATCAGATAACCAGGTATTTTTCAGTTAGCTACCGATATCGATCTACGAGAACAAAGTCCTAAAGTCCGTAATGGTGAATTGGCTGCCGACTTGTTCGGAAGTAAGTTTTAAAACTGCTGTTGCTCTTTTGTAGATTGTAACAACAATTCACCCCAGTACTCCTTACTGGTTTTCAAGTTTTTTTTTTCATATTCAGTAGTTCAAATAATACCTTTTCATCTATCCATCTCTTCTATTACAGATATCCATGACGAGTTACGTGAAATGATCCAATCTTTAATACTACCGGATCCACTGGATCGACCCACCACCAGTCAGCTATTAAACGATGAGAAGCTCCTAGCAAACACACGTGATCGAGTGACGTTCAGGAGAATTGAAACCGAACGAAAGGTAAGGTATGAAAGCAAAGCCAAGTTGATAATAAACGGTAAAACCAAAGTGACGATAACACATCGTGAAAAATGAAAAGGGAAATCCTTAATTCCCCCTTCTATCAAATTAAGCCTGAATATTTGGCAGTATCCTTTTTCGAAAAGACGAAAACTTGGGCAATATCGTGGCCGTCGGAAGAAGAATTCAACAGGAGCGGGTACCCTGCTTAAGAAGCAAGGAGAAGTAGAGTAAAACCTAACTAATCGCTTTGGAAGAGGTAGAATTCTCAGAATTGCTAGAAACCAAAAATAAGACTTTATAGAGTCGAGTCTGTCGTACTCTATGTTGTAGGAATTCGTCGGACTACATAAATACGGGTCGAGAAGTGATATAACACCTTTCCCGATTATCGAAGTTCGCGGCCTTGTGGCCTAATGGATAAGGCGTCGGACTTCGGATCCGAAGATTGCAGGTTCGAGTCCTGCCAGGGTCGAAACATTTTGGTAGTTGATGATATCATGTAAATTCACCAGGAATCACAAGGAAGTGGAGTAGAGAAAGTAGAGGTCCCTAGGCTTATGGATTATGTGTGTGATCCATCAACTGCATGCTCCCATGAGACAGCTAATTAAATTAACTAATAAAAACAGGGCTTACAGTGAGACAGCTAACCAGGAATCGTGATTTGATTGGGAGTATCGTTACATTTCCCTTCGAAGTATAGCATCGCCATGCTTTTTCATGCCAAACTAGGTATATCTTCACTCTCACTCACATCTCACTTTCACTTTTTAGATGAAGCTTCAATCTGGCCCACTTGATAAAGACTGGGACTTCGAGTTTGAAGGTGCGTCGTTTTAATGGCAACGAAGAAATCTCACGAACCACTATCTTGGATCCATTGTGAAGTTCGCTTTTTCAGACGAAATCCACCCACCATCCCTGCGATTCTCGAAGCCTCGTGTACCATTAAGGGACTTACGTCGTGAAGATATCGCTGACACGGTAGAAAGTGTCAGGTGAGTCTGATTCTCGATGAATCTCTGATTTCACATTCAGCCGAATCGTTTTCCAGGACTTGCCTACGGTTTGAGGATTCCAGCGATGACGACTCACCCAGCTATCGTTCCGAAAAGTAGGTTTCTTTTTCACATGACTTCCCCCTTCTCTTTTGATAGGTGATCAGGAATGATGGTGATGAGAAAGGCTTCTTAATGAAACCCGAGGTACTTGTTCAGTTCTCAGTAGGAACTAGCATGCCACTGATGGCCCATCGTGATGATGAACTTTTCCTGGGCAGGCCTACTCTTAACTATCTCCTCAATGATTTGTTCCAGTAGTTGCTATTCTAGTTCCATTCGAAAATCGGACATAATGTCACACTTCCACTCATTTTGTCGCACTGATTGTACATTAGATTGCCTCATCTTTGTCAGGTCTCGTCTTGTTCTCAATGCTAAGTCGGTTCCCATTCCACGAGAATCATGGAAGACATCAACTGCACCGACAACTATATGCCAGCCAGCGTCTTCGGACCAAACTTCCAAATTGCCTCCAACGGCCATCATCTGTGACACCCTGAGACAGCGTCCCAGAAGAATTCGACATGCACCAGAACGATTGATGGTGGATCCGAAGAAAAAGACATACGTAACTTGACACAAGGTCCGCCACAAAGGAATGATCTCGGAATTGTGAGGCCAAGTTTTTCACTATCTTTGCGAGCCCTCCCACGTCCGTATTCCCATGTTTCTCAACTATTCTGTCCACTTCAGCGTTTTTTATCGTCGGTCGGATATAGCTGGACCACAGTTAAGGTTGTCTCTAGAACTACGCAACAGAGGAGTCCTTTTTGTGTAATTGGCGAGGAAGTATTCGTACTGCGTGATCACCTGTACACCTGTCGTTCCGATGATTATCGGTTTCCTCAAGCGGGCACCACTAAGATCTTCATTTGTCCGTGTCGCGAAACGGAGTAGCCTACGGAACCGCCTTCACCAGAGGAACACTACCTGAGCACTACTTTCGTTCAAAGGTTTCGTAAAGTGTCTGGCCATTGTGCTGACGGCAGTTATGGTATTTGTCTGGCGTCCCGAGAGGTCCATTCAGTGATAATTCCGAAATTTCTCTGAAGGTACACGTTTCAACTATTGTGTTCCATCCACACGATTACCCTTCACCCTCCCCCCCCCCCCCCCCCCCCCCCCCCCCCCATCCCCCACCCCCGCTCTCTCCCATCCCTCCCCCTACTGGACAAACTTCGAAATACTTGGTGATTGCGAGCTCGAACCAGCAAAGGCATGAGAGGCGAGGGGATTTTGGTTGTTTAAAGGGCGTGGGCGAGTTTGCAAAGCACCCATAAGGGGAGGCTAGAGCTTTGATGTTTGCCAAATTATTTTTTCACCTGTGATTTTGTGATTTCGTTGAGGTACTGTACATTCAGCCATTCTACACATTCGCTTGGTTTGATTTCTTCCAAAATAAAGCTTCTTTTCATTGCCGTCGCCGATCCTCTGCTGTCTGTTTATGAGCACATATAGGGGCCTATTAAAGCCTTTGTTCTCTATTATTGAGACCTATTTGTCTTCGAGGAAACTACTCGGCTCAATTCTGAAGAGAACACAATTCACAGCAAATGTACTTGGAGTACTTGGTTGTTAAGAATTGATACAAGAGCTCACACGCTTTTTTCGCCCCTTAGGCTATTTCTTGTCCATTCATCAGCGCTGCTCATTGTTCACTCAAGTGCTTGGGAATCTATCGTCACTGATCGGTTATCAACTTGAACTGTGTATTCCTGTAGTTTTTTTTTACAAGAACTGAACGTTTCTCCGTTCTTCTGACTGTTCGACGACTATCATGGAGTTGTTGATAATCTCTGTTTATGAAGGTCTCGTATGCTTCGCTAAAGGTCCTGCCTTAATCTCGGCATGTGCTGCAACTTGGCTGAACTCTACACAATTTTGTAGATGATTTTATTGGATAACATTTAAGCAAGAATATCGTCCACGATTTGGACTTCAACATATGCAAGGTTATGGAGAAGGTTGGTAGAGTTCGGGTGATCAGAGATTATCCTAAAGCCTTTATCCCTATGGAGAGCAGTTCCGCCGAAAGAAGAGCATACAAAGCGAGGGAGTAAAAGAGCTGACTGTTTAATCTCTTCACTGTGTGCGTGTTGTTCACTGAGTTTGACTGCGTTTACGATTTCGAACAATGTCACATACATGGCTTATACTCCAGATTCATTGGCCTAGTCTTTCTTCTTCTCGAATATTCTTTATCGCTATATTTCTACTTATCAGATCACTCCGTCGCCGAATATCGCGAAGAAGAGAAAGTCTACGCCTGTCAGTCAAGAAACTCGAGTTTTCCGATTCATCAGATGTATCCGTTGGTCCTTCTCCCAAACGAAAACGTGAGTCAAGTCTTCTTCCGGAATCAGTTTGTAAAGATTTTTGAAATATTCTATTAGCCCATACCTTATACCGAAGAAGTAACATTTACCAGATTTAACCGTGTCTCAGAACAAATGACGGGAATGGGGGGCTTTTTCCCGAAAGCGGTGGCGGGTTCGTTTTTGGTCATGTATTCCGCTCCTTCCTCGACCCTTGACCCTGATATTTTTCAAACATTGAATTTTTTTATGGAGCAAACTCTTTAGTAAATGAGAGGTCCTACAAAACTTTTTCGATGTTTTCGTTTTTTTTCCAGGTCCTCATCCAGAATGACTGCGGATAACACTATGAACTACTTGATTATTCACATAACTACTCGTTCCTTCCTAAAGTCATCATTACAAAGCGGAGTATAAGAAACTGTTGATCCATAAATTACATATTATAATGGAATATGATTGCAAAACAATTTGAACAACAGTATGTATAAAGTTTTTTATTTA